TTGTAAAGAAGACGGCACAGCGAGGTCTTAAGCAGCCTGTACAGTCGCTGCAGAACAAGTACTCGAAGTTGGGCGCGACTCAGAATAGCCCAGTGACGATCGAAAGCCCTGAGAAGGAACCACCGAAGCCAAAACGTCGACTGAAGAGCGGAAAGGACCGCAAGAAAGCCGTCTTCTCGCCCTCCCCCGAACCCGCACCCGTACGACCGCAACAGAAAACAAAGAAGGGGGCGGCGATCGTTGTCTCCTCTGACGAGGACGAGGGTATTGCTGCGGATCTCATGATCGACGACGATTCGGAAGCAGGTGGCTCGGTAGTGGAGAACAGCTTTGACGATAGTAAATTGTTGAACCTCTTCAACACTTGTACAGTGGAGGAGTTGATCGACTTATCCAGTCACAAAGAAGAGGACATCAAGGAGATCTTCAAGCACCGCCCGTTCAAGTCGCTTGATGCTATTCGTAAGGTCCATGTGGATCTCACGCCAGTAGAGAAGGGCAAGAAGAAGTCTCGCAAGCCACGTATAACAACCGGACAGCGACTTGTGGAATCTACCGAGGCCATGTGGAATGCATACAACACCATCGACTCGGTTGTTCAGCAATGTGAGGCACTGGGCAAGCCGATGGTTGCGGGCATGGCAAAATGGGGCATTGATATCTTTGGTGCTTCCACAGAGGATGGAGTCGAGATCACAAGTCTCGATGATGCTAGCGACACGAACTCTTCTCGCGACTCAGGTTATCATACCCCTCGGAGCCCGAATGGCAGCGATACGGAGCCTAACAGCATACGAAAAGCGGCCACTCGTACGAAGCTTTTGACACAGCCCGCGATCATGAACGACGACATTGAACTCAAGGATTACCAGGTCGTAGGCCTTAACTGGCTGAACCTCTTGTGGAAGACTAAAACCTCGGGTATTCTGGCCGACGATATGGGTCTGGGAAAGACATGTCAGATCATCGCTTTTCTGTCACACCTCAAAGAAGAAGGCGTCGGAAAGCCTGCGCTTATCGTTGTGCCTGGATCTACACTAGAGAACTGGTGTCGTGAGTTTGAGCGCTTCTCCAACACGATCAACTTTACGCCCTACTATGGATCACAGGCGGAGCGGTTCTCTCACCAGGAGAGCATTCTCCAAAACATCCGCCAGGGAACGTGCGATGTTATCATCACGACATATGACCTTACCTTTAGAAAGGACGACTCTTCGTTCTTGAGAAAGTGCAGGCCTGAGATCTGTATCTTTGACGAAGGGCATATGCTCAAAAACGCCAACACGATCCGGTACAAGAGCTTGATGAAGATTCCTACGACTTGCAGAATTCTTTTGACAGGAACGCCACTTCAGAACAGTCTTCAAGAGCTCATGTCGATTCTGGGTTTCCTCATGCCGCAGGTTTTCTATGGCGACCAGCAGGAGGAGGTTCAGGAGATGCTGCAGATTTTGTTCAAGCACAAAGCCAAGACTATGGAGAGCGACTCGCATAGCTCACTGCTTTCTGCACAGCGTATCCAGCGCGCTCGTACGATGCTGACGCCGTTCATCCTCCGACGAAAGAAGGCTCAGGTGCTCAAGCATCTACCAAAGAAGACGTCCCGTGTCGAGTACTGCAATCTTACCGATACGCAAAAGACGCTTTACAACGAGCAGTTGGCCAAGCAGCGCAAGATCCTTGAAGATCGAGCAGCAGGCATACCTGTCAAGGACCATGCCAACGTTATGATGAAGCTGCGACAAGCAGCGATCCACCCCCTACTCTTCCGCCACCGGTACAACGACGACAAGATCCGGAAGATGTCAAAGGCGTGTCTCAAAGAAGACATGTTCGCCGAAAGTAGCCCAGACATCATCTACGAAGAACTCCAGCTATACCAAGACTACCAATGCCACCAGCTCGCCTCCAAGTACCGCGCGCTCAAGAAATTCGAGCTCCAAGACCAGGAATGGATGGACTCTGGCAAAGTCGCCGCGCTCCTCGCTTTGCTGAAAAAGTATAAAGAGAACGGCGACCGCGCCCTGGTCTTCTCGCAATTCACGTCCGTCATGGACATTCTCGGCTGGGTCTTTGACGACCACGACATCAACTTCATGCGCATGGACGGCTCCACACCAATCCAAGAACGCCAGTCCCTCATGGACGTCTTCTACCAAGACGAATCCATCCAACTCTTCATGATCAGCACCAAGAGCGGTGGCGCAGGTATCAACTTGGCCTGCGCAAACAAAGTCATCATCTTCGACTCAAGTTTCAATCCGCAGGATGACATCCAAGCAGAGAACCGCGCGCATCGCGTTGGTCAGACGCGAGAGGTCGAAGTCGTCAGACTAGTCACCAAGGGAACAGTCGAAGAGCAGATCTACGCGCTTGGTGTCAGTAAACTGGAGCTGGATAAGATGGTCCAGGGTGAGGAGAGTGAGGAGGGCGCCAAGGGCAAGGGCAAAGCGAAGAAGAAGGACGAGGTGGCCGGTGCGGCTGATAGTCTGAGTAAAGCAGAAGAAGCGGGTATTGCGGCTGTGGAGAAGATGATGATGGCGCAGCTTAGTGCGCCGGCTGCAGAGGTGGAGAAGACGGCTGAGGCTGTGAGTGGTGAGGGGGATGTTAAAGAGCAGTTTTTGAACGGCTTGAAGAAGGCGGGTTTGGATGTTGCTGCCTGATTCTATTCCACCGGCATATAATGGATGGAGTGGAGTGTGCGAGGTGTTGTTGGCACAGATTCCAGACGGCCTTTGCCGTTTGAAGGTCTACAGATGTTTTTTAGTTGGTTAGATGTCGTCTTTTCTGTACTGCATATGCAGAGTCAGCATCCAGCGATGGCGTTGAAATGATGCGATTTATCTGCACATGCAATACTACGGCATTTGCCCAAACTTGAATTATGTACTACTATCTTGTACTTGAAACTATATACAGCGCCTGCTCCTAATATCCACACATACTCTCCGTTCTCTCTAATCCTTCACACTCACTCCAGCTTTACTCGCGTCCTTGGCAGATTGCTTCTGCGTCTTGGCTGTTTCTTCTTCTTCCTCTGAGCTCTCCTCTTCATCATCCTCATCGCTATCTTCCTCTTCTGAACTCTCCTCTGCTTCAGCTTCTTTCTTGGCTTGCGTTGCGGGTTTCCCTTTTGTAGCCAGTGGTGCAGGTTTCTTGTCCTCTTCGCTGTCTGCCTCCTCACTCTCTTCTTCCTCGTCGCTGTCCTCTTCTTCTTCACTACTCTCTTCGGTAGCTGCAGTCGCTTTTGCTGGGGCTTTAGCTGCCGCTGGTTTACCCGCATCGGCATCCTCTTCCTCGGAGCTCTCCTCCTCGGATGCTTCTTCCTCGCTGTCTTCGTCTTCGTCTTCCTCACCACTCTCCTCATCCTCCTTCTTTGTCGAGCTTATCGGCCCGGCACTAAGCGCAGGGTTCTTCGCATCGTCGTGCATGGATGGAGGCGCATGTACGGGCTTCTGCAGATCGGAGAGCTTGGGAATGCCAGGTTTCGCAGCAGCCTTGGTATCTTTTGTGCTCTTCGACTTCGTATCTTTGCTCTTTGTGTCCTTGCTGCTTGTGGGTTTCGACGACTTTGACTTTGCGACGGGCTTTCCGAGACCGAAGAGTCCTCCTGTTGCGGGTTTTCTTGTAGACTTTGACTTTGCATCTTTTGAGGATGTGGTAGTCTTTGCCTTGGTGTCTTTCGCCTTGGAGTCTTTTGCTTTCGCATCCTTTGCCTTAGTGTCCTTCGACTTGGTGTCTTTGCTCGTGCTCGGTGTAGCGGCTTTCGCGTCTTTCGTGCTCTTCGCATCTTTCGTTGTTGCGGTCGCGGCAGCGGGCTTGGCCTCCGCTTTGGCGGTCGAAGCAGCAGCCTTTGTATCTTTGGTCGCGGTCTCGGTCGCAGTCGGTGTAGCAGGCGTCGCAAGCTTCGGCGTCTCGGGTAATGGGACAGATTTTGGCGAGAGGATGCTGCTAGGGTCTTCCTTTGTAGGGCTCTTCTTCGACGTCGCCGAGGTCGGTGTGTTCGTCTTCTCAGCCAGCAATGGGTTCGTAGTCTTGATGTTGCTTGGAGTAGGCTTCATCGACGCGGCCTTCTTCGCAGCTTCCGCACCTAGCTCACGGAGCGCCAGGTTTGTCTCTGGACTGGGTATAATGACGTTCTCCTTCTTTGCAGCTGCGCTTGTGGATGAGAAGGAGGAGGTGGTCGTAGCTGGCGCAGCCATGGGTGGTGGGCCGGGCTTCGCAGGAAAGGGCGTGAAGGCTGCAGTCACGCCCAGCGCTTCTCGAATCTCGTCGTACTCGTTCCATTCTTCGATCTCGGTGATGCCCTGCAAGACACGCATTAGCCTCCTGTCCCAGCTACGCGCTTTCTCCTATACCTACACCCAGAACATATCCCTCTTTGACTATCAACGGTAGCTTCTTCCCGCTTGCTCTCCGCTGGAATAGCTTCTTTGCGAGCTCATCTGTCGCCGTATCGACTCCCTTGAAAGGGATCTTGTTCGCCCGTAGGATTGTTTCGATTCGAGACGTGGCAGTAACAATGTGAGAGGACCCGGCGGTCAGCGAGGTGAAGAGGTATATCGTCGGGTCGTTGTCGTAGACGCTTAGTTCGGCCATGACTGAGGCTCGGTCGGGGTGCGCGCGGGGTACGGAGGATAACTGAGCTGTGCCCTCGTTACGGTGGCGAAAGAGGCAGGAAGAATAGGAAGGCAAGCCGGCGTATATTGCGGAGGTTTTATAGGCCTCGAGACGACGACGTGTAGCGATTGTAGTTTCATAAATCCACGGGTTTCATAACACGGCCCTGACAGGACGAGGGTCTAGTGGGGCGCTAGCTTGGACCCTTTATTTCACAATAGATCGGCGGGCATGCGCCAACTCGCGAGTCACCATGCACATGTCAAACACCATTTGGGATTTTAAAGTTGAAGATATGTTTGCATTATTCATATCGAGCGAATGACATTACAGATTATTCCCGAAAACATAACTAGTGCCGTTTTTCTCGTGACTACACATTATGCTGGCGTGGGACCATTGGAGTATTTGCTAGCAAGAACTGTCATCAGGGCGTCGCTGACTTCGAATTCCTCGAGGACTGCGCCAAAGCTGGGTAGGGTTAGTGCATGCTCAGCTGAAATCAGAGTGATACCAACGTACCCGTAGCAGCGGACTTTGGCAAGGAGCTCCTTCTTCACGAGCTCAATGTCCTCTTTGGAGAGATCCCTGAAGCATTCGTCTTGGAGGATCTTCGCCCAGGCCATGATAGGCGTGATTTCCCCATCAAGGGGCAGACGATTGCTGAGATCGAGTAGTTTCATCAAATCCGGCATCTTGACGTCCGGCATCTGATGTGGATACTTCTCCTCGGGGCAATTCGTGATATGCGCATCGGGAGGTGCCGTTGCCATGAGCGCATGGCCGCTGATGTTCTCGTCGGCCTCGTTGGCGCGGACCATTAAAAACTGCATGTGGTCCATGCAGGGTCGCTCGAGCCTGTTAGACGCAGTCGTCAGAACAGATCTCGTAAAGATAACGAATGACGTACGGAGGCCAAAAAGAATGAAGAAGAAAAGACGTAAGCGCATTACTGCTGGGGTGGAGGAGAAAGATAAGGCGATCGGTCGTACGTTAAGACGAAGTCAATGCCGATCTGGTCATAGTCCATCGAATGCTGCTGATGGTGACCAGACTGCTGGGCTTGTTGCTGTTGAAGAGTCAAGGCTTGACCGTTCATTCCATCATGAGAGCTGGATCCGCGTGTTGGTGGCGATGTGTAGCCAGTCGACGCTGATCCTGGCCCGTAGCCTGACATGCTGCCAGTGGAGCTTCCGTAGGCAGAGCTGTCGACGCGGCCCATGCCATTGCTCCCCGGGCTGGAGTGGTCGAAGGAGATGCCATGTGCCATGAGCAGCTCTCTCAGTCGGCGGTTCTCGTCCGCGAAAGCGTCCCGTTCCCTCGTAGTAGCCGCAAAGGTATCCTTGAGACGGATCACCTCCTGCTCGAGGGCCTTGATGTATAGCTCCTTTCGCTCTCGGTGTGTTCTTGCCAACAAGTCAGTGCGTGATACAAGACATGGCTTGGCTGATGTTACCTCTGCGCCTGGCGGTTCAGCTCTTGCCGTCTGGTCAAAGCCGGTTTGCTATCCGGTTTGGGTCCTCTTCTCTTGGGTGGTTGGCCATCTTGCAGGAGTCAGTCACCAGATCGAGGCGATGTCTCAATGAACGAACCTCTTGTTGTCTTCTTGTCGGTCAGACCCTTGAAGAATCCAAATTGTGCTAGAGGGCTCTTAGATTCGCTTCCTACAGAGTGCCACTGCCCGGTACTCTCCATGTCCGACGCAAATCCAGCCAAGCTGCCCCTCCTGCTGCTGCTCATGCTCACTTCCGAGAAACACTCGGAAGCCCGACGAGAAGCAGCAGGTGAGGGGTACTCGATGGCAGCGCCGGATGGAGGGTAGGTGGGCGCCATGGTCAGCGCATGCGCATTAGGCCAGGACATATAACGAGCATGCGACATGATGTTTCGATATTAGGTAAGGGATGAAAGAAACAAAAAGGAATATTATGTATGTGTGTATGATGAGCTTTGACGAGAAAGGAGAGTTGTGCGGCCATGTATATGTAGTGTCGCCAGCGCCTCGCCGGGTGAGGCACGCAAGCGTTCGCAGGGTCTTTGGCCGTTAATGCATCGATCTCAACTCAACGGCCGGCAACCATGCGAGCCGCGGGGAATGTTGCAACGTTCATGCTAACCCGAGTAGAGCTTTCAAGGTTGTCATGGCGAGACTGGTCATGTCTCTGCAGCACGTTTCTGGGAGTGGAGTAAAGACGCGAGAAGCTTCAGCGGCAGCGACCCAATGGCGGCTGCCATGTCTACGTGCCAAGAACAAACTGTAGGAATCGCGAGGCGGAGCCAAAACAGATACAACTTCAAAACGTGGAGCGATTAAAGCGCTGGAGACTGCCAAGAGGAATTCCACATACCACTGCTGTTGTCGCGATGACTGGCACCCTCGGAGGAGGGGTCGGTTTTGATAGTAGTTGCCATGCTATAGGAGCGGCATTGGCAGCGACGCGCACTTATGGGTTAAACGGTTCTCTCCCTCGGCGCCGAAATGGCGGAGAAGCCGTCGAGTTGCAGTGAGCGATGCGCTAAAGGCAAGTCAGTCCACAGGGCGACAATGAACCCCTGCGCACATCCGAAACGTACAAAAGTCAGGCTCGCCGGCGCGCAGAGATGACGATTAGACAGAGCCGGTGCCCGCGGTTCTGCCGTGGGGTGTTTGGGTATTTGAGCAGCGAGACTTGAAGGGTACTCTAGTTCTCTCGGAATGCGGCCGAGGTCCTCCTGTTCCGTCCTTCCGAGTTGGGCGAGACGGCGATGATGGAGAGACGGTTGCAATGGGCGACGAGCTGCCGGTCAATTGAGACAAGCGATGGTGCCCTTGGCGTCGCAGAGTCGAATGTAGCACAGGAAAGGGCAGGCTGGTCTGGAAGGACGTGCCAGGGTAGCTCGACTCCTACACTTGCAGTGCGATGTTCAACGCGATTTAGTAGCCAGCCATGCACGAAATAATGCGCTACACACTCGAGATCGTCGGCGAGAACACAGCCCCAGCTAGCGATTTGGAATCTGCCTGCCATCCGGGTCTGGAGGTTGCAAGATGAGGCGGTCAGTGCACAAGATCGAGCCAAACAGCCTTTGGAGCAATCACAGCCAGAGCGCGGAAGCAGCTTGTGATCCGCTGGTGTTTAGCGGCTTCATTCTGCGGCTCTGCAGCGACTCCGGTCTAGAGCTTGCAGCTGGCGTGCAGTGCAGTGGCGCCGTGCGACACCCAACATCCCAGCTTTACAGCGCAAAAACAAAGGGTCGGCGCGCAAAATACCCCATGGCATTGTGTCATGGGCGATGCATGGTCAGGGCTGGGTATCAAAACCTGGCCCAGCCACTTCGACCGCCCGATAAGTCTCGGGCACGCCTTCCCGAGGTCCTGTGGCGGGTGCATTCTGCTCTACCACACTTCAACGTACTTCGTATAACAGCTATCCACTTAGACATGCAGTTGCCTACTCCGTACGGTCACGTTGTGCGGTATATACGATTTGCGGGGCAGCCAATCGCTATATTTCCTGACGTCGACCCTTACGACATAGCGCCTACTTGATCGTACCATCGGAATGCGATTAGGAAGCAAGACTGGTCACATATCCTCCATTGTACTATATAGCCTGCTCTAGATGCTCCAGATCGGTTGAGTAATCACTGTGGCCTTTGAGCAGATCCCGCAGCCGTATCGGAGTGCCTATAGCTTTGGCTTGTTGTCGAGGATCTTCTCAATCTCCTCCATGAGCTCCGGTGTCAACTTCTCGAGCAGCTTGAGAGCGCCACAGTTGTCCTTGACCTGTTCGGGCTTCGTTGCGCCAAGAATAACAGTAGACACATTCGGGTTCTTAGCTGCCCAGGCAAGCGCGAGTTGAGTCGTGGTGCCTCCAAGTTTCTCAGCAATCTTAGTCAGTTCCTTGACCTTCTTGATCTTAGCCTGTCCCTCGTCGCTCTTCAGCGCCTCGATTGAGTTCTTGAAGAATTCGGGGTTAGTCGCGAATCGGGAGTCGGACGGAATGCCATCGTTGTATTTGCCAGTCAACATGCCCGAAGCCTAAGTGTTGGTACACGCGTTAGCATAGATCTCGGATGTAGTAGGTTCGTTCTGAGTTCTTACCAGAGGTGACCAGATGGTCGTTCCGTATTGGTACTTCTTGTACAATGGAGCGTATTCCTTCTCGAAGCGCTCACGGTGGAAAGCGTTGTACTGAGGCTGCTCCACGATAGGGGCGATTAGGTTGTACTTCTCGGCGATATCGCATGCCTCCTGGATCTGATCCGCAGACCATTCGGATGTACCCCAGTAGTATGCCAAGTTCATCTGGATTGTCTGGGTGAAAGCTTCAACGATCTCCTTCATGCCAACGCTAAACATACGTTAGTAGGCACTCGGAAAGCAGAAAGCTAATACATACTCAGGGTCGTAGCGATGAGCAAAAACAACGTCGACGTAATCGTGGTCAAGACGCTTCAAGGAGCTCTTCAAGCCCTCGACAATGTGCTTCTTGGATAGACCCCTACGCGTTCATTAGTTGAGTAAGAGTATGCAAGACGGCCATATTACCTGGTGTTTGGCTCCTTCCTCTGAGTTCCGAAGAAGACCTTTCCATTACTGTCAGTCCCCACTCATGGCATGATGAGACTGATCTTACCTTTGTCGACAAGACGTACTCGTCACGCGGCCACTGCAGCTCCTTGAAAGCCTTGCCCATCTCAAGTTCGCACTCACCGGCTGCGTATACCTCGGCAGTGTCGAAGAAGTTGATGCCATGGTTCCAAGCCTCTTGCATGCAGTCCTTCACGATGGAACCCTTCTGCGTTCCTCCGTATGTCAACCAACCTCCCAAGGACAGGACCGAGACCTTCAACCCAGCGGGTCCAAGGCGACGGAACTGCATGCTATCTTGACATTAGCAAATGTTCAGATGTAACAGATGTAAGAGTACACATGTCAAATTGCGAATTGAACACAACCACGCATCGAGGCAGACTATTTCGTACTAGCAATTGACGTGACTTACTCCTTGGGGTCAAACTTTGTCTCGACTGCAGGCATTTTGGATGTTTATTACGAGTTGTTTGCTGAAGAGGAAATTTGGTTGTGTATGAGCTTAAATGAGGGGCAGGCAGGACACCTAGGCATAGAGAAGCAGTTACCCCACCGTGGACGGCAACTATGATGAGGTCACGTCATGCGGGGTTAAGGCAAACTCCGTAACGGCACAAGGTAGAAGAATTGCCGTATGCCTTGGGTAAACGCGACTGAAAGATTTGGGAAAGATCAGCTACTGTACACACCAAGTGGCGCAACGTTCCGCCTTACTTACGGCTATCACATTTGCGGCGGGTCAGGGCTGAGGCACCCGTGGCCAAGCTCGTAAGCCGCAACAACCTTTCTTCCGCCCGCTACCAACCAGAATGCCCCATTCAGCTCTTCGCTGGATGCCTATCGTCCCAGAACTACCCTATAATTTTGTTGCGGTGGCACTAGAAGCTGTTTAAACTCCTGTCTAACTCCTGTCCAGCGGCATTGGCGAAAGCTTGACCTCGCTCGTTTCATGTTTCAAACATCCCCGGCAGCTGGGTGGCGCAGAACCAATCACAGTCGCACAACGCGTATTCACGTGCATAGTTCGTCACCTCGCACAGGCAATGATTGGCCGTCACTGCTCGTTGATCTGGGGAATACGGTAAGACGGGTTCCTGACTATTGTGCTGACGGCGCACCTCAAGGGGGATCCTTAGGCGCGCCACGATGCGCGCCTAAGGTCATATATCTTGGCCGTCACCTTCCTTTATCGCTTCTATACACTGCCTCCTCACGGTCTCTCAATCCCTTGTTTAGATCACTAGCTTCTGCAGGCCTGAAGCAAATTCCATTCAACGTCACTCATTCAAGAACACTGTTCTGGCCACTTACTTTACAATACAAGTTCTGCATTCGGACTATTCAAGAGCTCCTTCTTACTTAAGACCATCACCTCGCACCAGACTTGGCCTCAAACATCACTCATTATATATACACCAACATCATCAAAGAACATCAACCTTACAACTATATACCTATATACTCCACCAATCAGCCGATCAACAACATGGGTTTCAAGAAGAACATCCTCGTCGCAAGTGCCTTTGCACTCTGCGCTTTCGCAGCACCTGTCCCCGCCCGGGGCCCCGATTGCGACCTTGAAGATGCCCCGGCAGCTCCCCCAGCAGATGCCCCAACCACCGAGGCGAGCCTGACTGCAGACAACTTGATCGCCATCGCCCCCACCACCGCGTCCTGCGACGGTGCACCATTCCCCGACGAGTGTGCAGATGCAACTGCAGCCGCTACTGCTATCAACAAGGCCTTCGAGACCTACAAGATCACATCCAAGGGCGAGAGGGCGGCGATCGTTGCGTATGAGCTCTTTGAGAGCGGAAACTTCAAGTACAAGAGGAACCACTTTCCCGCGCCAGGTAAACCTGGTCAGGGCACAAGAAGTAAGTAACGCTGTTATGATGAACTGCCCATGTCACAGAAACTGACTTATGTATTTAGTGATGGCTATGCCCCCCATTATCGAGAAGTACGCAACCGCTATTGCAGGTGCAGACGCTGTCGCGACAGCAAAGGCCACTGGAGTTGATGCCGTTCTCGACCTGGTCAACTCTGACGACGAGAAGAGCTTCGGTTCGGCGGCTTGGTACGTTACCACGTGCAGTGCGGAAGTTCGAGCTGGCCTTGACGCGGCCACCATCGAGGGCTGGCACGCTTTCTTGACCGAGTGTGTTAACACCCCACCTGCTGCTGAGCGTGACACTCTGTGGACTGCGACCACGCCTAACGTCCAGTGAGAAGACTGAGAAACGTCACCAAATTGGGTCGGTGACGGAGCTATTATTCATGGCGCATTGGGCTTGGGTAAGCCTATTGTATCCCTCTTCACTAAAGGTGGAGTTTTCAAATGTAACGACTTGCTACGAATTTCCTATACAATTATTCCAATTTCATTATCTACCATGTGTGCAATATGTGTGTTTAGTGGTTCGGTGACATCTCTACATTCACACGATACTTCGCTGAAAGTAAATGTTGTGGTTCTGTCGAGTTAGCGCGAGAAACTGTGAAGATACCGGCTATTTGAATACTGAGTTTAACTTGTATTGAATACATTATACTAAAGCAGCCTGGCCACTAGAAATGAACGGCCGATACATTGCGTTGGCTGAAGAGAAAGAAGAGAAAGAAGAGAAAGAAGAGAAAGAAGAGAAAGAATGTAAGAGCGGTACTATGCTTAAATATATACAAGCAGACATTTCATAAAGTCCTCCTACCAAATAATGTATACCATTGTCCGCTTCAAATCGGTGAGACCTCACCCCAAGCCCCAACATCTTCCCTCGACATGAGCTCTCCACACTCAGGACATGTACATCCATCCAATCCATGCGTACCCGCACACTGCCTGACCCATGCCTGCAAGCACCCAACGCAAGTCGCAGGCTCGTGCCAGCAATTGGCTGTGATCCTGCGCTCGCTGAACTCGAATACTGGCCTTGACGTCTTGCAGAGAATGCACGTGCGTTCAATAGCTGGTGTGTTGCGTCGGGAATTAGGAGTCATTGCCCGGGGGCTAAGGGAGGCGTCGAAGGCGGGGCGCTGGTGTGGTTGGGGAGCGGTGCAGGTAATGTTCGGAGAAGGTAGGGCGACTATGCTGCTACGTTGGGATTGCATCGACACGGGGCGTGCTTGAGATTGCCACGAAACAGGCCGTCCTTGGGATTGCATCGAAACAGGTCGTCCTTGGGATTGCATCGATACGGGACGTACTTGCCGTAAGTTTTCGTTGGATAGGTGTGAGGCTAGTGTAGTTGGCGATAGCGAGTTTCCGCTGCTGCGGCGTCGCTCTGCGGAGGCGGCGGGGCTTGGTGGTGCGTCGGTCCAGGGCGCGAAGGGTGCTGGAAGGGGTGCTTCGAGTTGGGCAGATTTGACGCTCATGTCAAAAGGCGAGTAGGTCGGTGTCGGGATGAGGTCGACCGCTGAGAGACGTTTGGATGCTGCTGGGTCCTGGTTGGCTTCGGCTTCGTAGACCTGGAGGTTTTCCTGGGTTAAGTTCATTCTCCGCAGATCTTCGACAACGGTTGCAAACTTTTGCTGCTCATGTTGAGCTGAAGAGTCTCTTCTCCTAGCGCCAAAGTTCTTCAATGCTTGCGGTATGGTTGACCATCTGTGCTTGATCTTCTTCTCTGGTTTGCTCTTCTCTTCCGATGTCGCGAAAGCATCTAACGTGGAGTGTATTGGTGTTGCTGGCGTAGCAGAGAAGACTGGTGGGGGTGAAAACGCAAGTTTCGAGGATGTTACAGGCGTGGGTGGACCGACTTCATCGTCCCCGTACTGCTGATAAACCATGTCATTCTCAATATTCTCCCCTGCGATAGCTTTAGGTGCACACCCCGACACGGGCCGCGACTTGTTCTGTGGGTAGCTGTTGTTCCGTAGTCCTCGCGAGGAGGCAATCTTAGTTCCGGAGCGATTCCGTTGGTGGTAGGTCGCGAAGGATGTAGGTCGTGGTCGCGGCTGCATTGGCGGGCTGTCGAGTGCGGTGGAGCTTTGGGGGTGATATGAGATGGGTCGTTGCGTTTGTGGACCGTTTGCATCGTTCATCGGCGGATATGTCCACTGCGTAGAGTTTGCTTGTGGCCTCTCACATTCACAACTGCCTCGGGAAGAAATGCTGCTCCTAGGCTTGTCTGAACTGTCAAGATACGATGATGCAGGCCCCTGACCTGGTGTATTAGGGCTCATGGTGGCTGGCGAAGCAATCCATTCTGACGATAGCAGATGTTGCGCGTTGTATGATGTCGGTCGTGTGAGCGGTAGCGGTCGTCGCTTAATCGGGGATGTATTGACTTTCGTGCTTGGTTCTGTCTCCGGGAGCTTGCTCAACGTCTCTTCAGGATTGAAAGAGGAAGCCGGGCGGTTCGGGTTCGTCCATTTGTCCAGCAGGTCAGAGTCGCTGTCCGGCTTTGGCTTCTCTTCGATGGGTTTGTCTTCAATCACTACCTTTTCGACGATGGCCTCCATTTTCTGCTCTTGTGTCACCTTTCGAGACAATTCTTTTTCTTCTTCGACATCGGAAATCTCCAAATGCTCGTACATCGGTCGTTCCAACCATCGTGTTGTTACCGATTTTTCGCGTTGCAAATTTCTTAGAGCTTCCTCAGAATCTGCGATCAAGCCAAGCATGCGTTGCGCCTTTGCAGAATCCCTCTTAATCGGCCGTGGATGCCTCAGAAGTGGATGTACGTCATCTTGAACATGACTCTGCGCCACAGCCGCCATAGTTGTGAAGCCGTTCAGCCGAAACGAGGGAGGCCTAGAGAAATACCAACGACAGCGAACGTGGTTGGGGAGAACGAAACAGTGGGCACGAGCAACACAATAAAACAAGAGGCAGGATCAACCCCTCGTAAGAGTGTGGGACAGCGTCCCTCCATATCAGCAACATGCCGCGACCCTACCACTACCACGGACCCCGGCACGGTACGACTTTACTGTGTGGCTGGCAGCAGCACAGAACCGACAATCCGTTTCAAGCCCTTGCGCAGAAAGCCCGGAGCTGCGTAAATCACCGTTAGCTTGGCTCGCGCAACACTGCGCCTTCGATTATTCGTTGCTAGGGCCCGTATTGCGAGGCCTGCAGTCAGAGTAGTTCGGCGGTTTTGAGTGGTCCCCGCTGCGTGAGACGTATTTTTAGAACCAGTAGTAGGGCTTGGTGGGCATGGCTACGGATAGCCCACGCGATGCCGACACTTGTGGCCATTGACAAAATCTCCTGCAATGGCTATAACTACGTCTACAGGAGGCTGCGAAGTATCATGGTGACGACGCGTGGTTCGCGCTGGCGGTGTGAGCATCGCGTGATGGCTGGCGCAATCTCAGGTAACGAAAAAGATCAGCGAGCCACATAATCGACTGACGAACAGTGCCCGCTGTCGTGCCTGTGCTTCAATTTAGTTTCTGAGGTGGGTCCGTCGCCTCTCGTGCTCGAGACATGGGAGACCTGGAGC